GTCCATCCATCTGCACATCACTTGCAGCAGTGAGGCCTGCTGACAGCGTCTGGCAGTGTCGGCAACGTGCCAGACAGCTATCTGGAGTCCTGCTCACCGCAGGTCGCCGACAGGAGGGTCGACGCATCGTCTCCGAGGTCGCCTCAGCAGCAGTGAGACCCCACTGGCCGTCTTCTTAGGCTTCAACTAGATTGCGAACAACCTATGCTGAGACAACGCCCATGACGTGTGATCCGGTACCGCTACCGCACTGCGTGCCTGTGCCCGCCGTGAGCCGCTAGTGCATGGGTTCGACCATGAGAATATGTGTTTATGTTGCTTTTACTATTGTTTATACGTTGAAGTGACGAATTGTTTATTTTTCGAAAGCCTCCGCTGTCCGGTTGCCTGCAGCTCCATGCAACGCCAGCTGTACTGTTGTTTTAATGTTGTCTCTCCGCTCAGCTGTACTGTTGCCTCTCCGCTCATAACAACCTATGCTGGGACAACGCCCATGACGTGTGATCCGGTACCGCTACCGCACTGCGTGCCTGTGCCCGCCGTGAGCCGCTAGTACATGGGTTCGACCATGAGAATATGTGTTTATGTTGCTTTTTATACTATTGTTTATACGTTGAAGTGACGAATTGTTTATTTTTCGCAAGCCTCCGCTGTCCGGTTGCCTGCAGCTCCATGCAACGCCAGCTGTGCTGTTGTTTTAATGTTGTCTCTCCGCTCAGCTGTACTGTTGCCTCTCCGCTCATATATGACACCCTCTATATGAATGGCACTACTGATTGTCACACCCACTGTCCGTATTGTCCGTAGTGGTGTCTACGCCCATGTTAATACAGCGTGCAGAATCCAGATTCTATTGAGGAGAGTTGAGCCAAGTCACCATAGGCTCGGGAAGAGAGCAACGTGGAGGCCCACTGCCCCTTCCCCGGCCCCCACTGGGGGCGCCAGCCACTCCAACTTTTGACTGGATGTCAAGAGCGTCGCCACGAGGGGAACGAGTCGCCGGCCAGCCAAGGTAGCCAACGGCGTGTGAAGGTTGCCTGACCTCGAGGAAACTGAGATGGCACCAACGGAGGTTTTGTTAAGTAGGCGACCAAAATTCGAGCGGCAGCAGCCTGGGCACCTTCACAGATAGCAGTGCCGCGTATCAGGGCGCCTTCGACGTTGAGCTGGGCGCCGATCATCAGGACGCCGGGGGAATATGACCCAATATCCCCCGTAAATATGTGCCTCGGAAGGGAGACCCAACCATAAAACTGAAAGCTCGCCGTATTTTATCCACTATTTTTCGAGCAGGTCCATAGATTTCCGTCTTCAAAAGTGCGGGAATATTCCCCAGTGTTTGAGTTGGATGGGACTATAGTGGCGTTTACACCGACAGGAGATTCCCATTGCCGGCTGTGGGAAACTACTGTCGGTGTAAACACCATTCATATTTCCTGCGTCACCCCTGTGGGGACGCCCTTACTCCATGGTGCCGAGCTTATCAATTTGGATATCAATGGAATCAAAATCTCTTATCGATCGATGAAGAACTAAATTACCCCGACCCGGAGAGCGTCTTTGGAATCAAAGCAGTAGCACATGACGCAAGACTTCAGGCAAATAAATCCTTCTTGTCTGAAATAAAACATTTGTGTATTGATAAGCACGTTTTATAAGCAATGGTAGCAAGATTCTCCATGTATTTGGTTAAAGTGATAATTTAGCAGCAGATACTTACCGTCGCATTTCGTTTTTATTAATTAATAATTTATATTGTCAGAACTAGCAACATGTCTCTTCACTCAGCAATAATTACAAAAGTGAAAAAGAAATGATAAATTGCTTATATTTTGGTGAAACTAAAAATTAATTCAGCACATATTTTTTTTACAGCGTTGAAGTCCAGCTCCAAAGGACAGCTGACGACCGTAGCCGAGCAGCATATTTACGTCTGGACAACGAGTTGCGGGGAAAAGTGCTGATTTTGTCGCAGTTTTAGGAGCCGGTGATTTGGCTGGATTTTTGGGTTACTTTTTCGTTCCGATTCCTGTATTTCATAGTGTTTGGCTTTCGAATATTTTAGTTCTTTCAGATTAATATTACTTGCCTTATAAATTTCGTAAAAACGTTTCATTTTTATAAGCCGACCGCTAGAGTCGTAAAAAATACGTCAGCACTACAATTATTGTAAACAAACAAATGGAGCACCACTTGGCTCTGTTCCAAGGCCCTTTTCAAGTTCATTTGGTGGTTTTCGTACTCTTGTACGTCGCTTTGTTGGAAGTTTTGAATACCTTGTGATTGGCTTATATCATATAAGAGAATTATGTGCACTGAAAATAATCCCAAGTATCCAGGAGGCTAACAGAGGTCCTGACTCCTAATGCAATATCAAGTTGAAGTTAGGAAATGTTGGTTGATTAACGCAAGTTGATCTGGCTCACGAGTCATATCAGCAAGAAAAAGTAAAATTAAAAGAGCTTATTGGCGAAAATAAGCTATAAATTGCTGGAGATCAATACTGATCAGAGCACGCTGAGCAGTATCAAGCCAGAAAATGTTGGCTGATGAACGCATATGCATTATGCGTTCATCAGTATATTGATGTATTGGTATGAATATTGAATTATAACCTACAAAAGCAAGATTTATTAGTGCTACTGCTAAGTATCAAGTGAAAAATCTAGAATGAATGAACTCGGGCAGCTTTGCTATGCAAATAATGCGTATTACTCAGTGTCTGGCAAATGAAACATGCAATCATTCTATTGCTACTGGAGGAGAAAGCTTGGATCACTAAATCAGCTTGATGTTGAATTTGTTGTTAATCATTACACTGCATTTCTTGAAAAAAGGATTGTAGTAAAATTGTCAATGTGACCATCCATATGCAACAATGTGATCATATGATGTGTTCATAGTCATTCGTGATAGTGATTATTGGTCCAATATACAATGGAAAAGCTCTCAGCATTTCTTTCTGTGGATGGCCAGAAGTGACTCAGAGCGTAGAAGTGTTGTCTTCACAGGGCTGGGATAAAAATTAAAGTACTGAGGGTATTCTTTCAGCAAGGAACTTTGACTTGGTATGAGATGTAGGCACAAGTAGGTAGGTGCTTAGTACCTATTGTTAGTAGTTGTGTAGGATTAGCTGGGTTAGTTTAGATTAGGGGTATGTTAGTTTTTTAATTTTCCAAGTGTCCATAAAAAAATGTGACCTGAGCAATGCTCAGGTCAATGCTCAGGTCGCATCCAGGGAAACAGAAGGAGGACAAAGGAACTGGCTCCTTGGGTGGCTGGTGTGAGTCTGTGCATTTTAAGTGTTTCTTCTCTGAAGCTGCTCTGCATTGCTGTATGCCATGCTAGATGCTCAGAAAAAATGTGGGAAATGACACTAAGCTACTTATTTGCTTTGTTCATGCTTGTCACTCAATACATCAACAAGTACAAATCCTGCGGGGTACAGCATGAGCTAGGTGAGTATGTTATGTGAATGTGCTGTTTGACTGAAGCAAATATACAAACAAACACAGGGTCACAGTTTTATTCAATCTCCACATAAACATACAACAAAAACGCCCATAGCCTTACTCCGAACACACAACAAATAACTTTAGCCTTGGCGGGCACAAAAATGTTTTGATTTACAGGATAGGTATACAATATATCCTCTGTCTTTGGGGATCTTGCTGGCTGCTGCCAAATTGAAGTAAGATGACAGAACTTCAGGATTGATCGGCCTTTTCTTCTTATTAGCCACTGCTTATTACGAGAAAGACTAAATGCTTGGTTGATAAACTGCCTTGAAAATGTAATGATCAATCTTCAATTCTGACATTTTTTTTTTTTTTTTTTTAATTTAGTCCGAACCTTGTGATGGGAAGGATTCACAAGGACAGAGCCACCGCTAAGCGGAGCTTGTTGCGGTGACCCTGCCCTCTACCCTCCGATCGCGCAATTCCAGTTCTATGGCAGAATTTAGAGTCCAAAGTTTAACGTGCGCACATAGCCGCGCACGGCCGGTCCCCTCACTGACTTCACCTGGCTACGGCCTGCCACCAACCGCAACCATACCTGTCAGGAGGCCCATAAATGTCAAGCGCCCGTCGCGCTTCGAACCCGGACTGTTGTAACCGGGAACGCGTGCTCTCACCACGCGGAGTCCAACGCTCTACCAACTGAGCTACGGGACCGGCGACATGAATGCACAACGAAAATAGTTCCCTCTACTCTTGGAGCACACAAAACTATTTATATACACTGTGCTCAAAGCAAAATATTTAATAACTTCAACTTCTTCTAAGTGGATGGACAAGAGCAATTATCATAGCTTTCCCTCAAGTTAACCTCTGACACTGATGAATTACACTGACACCTCTGATCCAAGATAAACTTAGAATGTATAAATCTGTCTAGTCATTCATGCAACAGATAAACTTCAGGTCAATATGATATTTTGCGATATCAATATACCTTTGGAATATTTTTGCATGTTCGCGTCATATTTTGTAACAAACGCGCAAAAACTGCAACATAACAGCACTATACGCTTCTGGGCAAAATAAAATGGTAGTTAATACTTAGCCCTGATGGTATTCGTTCTTGGCCAAAATGCTATTATAAAATATGTTGTAGTAACTATTAAATTCCGGCTTAAAACAGTGCTCGACTTAGAAAAGAATCATTCTAATGAGGGTCCATTCTTGCGGTCCTGAAATCTCCACTATTTCCGGCCTCTCCAACGCAACTCGTTGTCCAGACGTAAATATGCAGCCGAGCAGGCTGTTTGGTACTTCTTCACTACTTCTTAGAAGTACCCGTTAGTACCGATCATGTCTCACATAATAAGCTATTGGAACAAAAATATCCATGTTCTTCTAATTATTCTCCTTTGACACTTTGAATAAATACTTTTGAAATGCATTTACTAATTAATTTCACAAAAACGGCTTGAAATTTTACAACGTCAAAATACTTATTCCAATTTCCACCATGAAACCACCACTATATTACTTGCTTACAGAACCGTGCGCACAGTGCGCGCAGTTTTATCGTGACGTCAGAGGGTGCTTCCTCAGTGGCGCCCCCTGGCGGGGAACGCGTGCAAAAAGTCCAGCTCTTAGGCATGTCCGGGTTACCGATACCCACAATCCAACCCATCTTAGCCTAACATAACCTAACCTAGCCTAACATAACCTAACCTAACTTAACTGGTATAGGTATGTCAAGTTTAGGTCCTAACTACAATTGTGACGCTGTTGATACGAATATGTAACAGCAAAAATTTTAGGTTTTAGGTTAGGTTAGGTTGTAGGTTTGTAGGTTTTAGGTTGTAGGTAGGTAGGTTTGTAGGTTTTAGGTTGTTAGGTAGGTTGTAGGTTTGTAGGTTGTAGGTTTGTAGGTTATAGGTAAGTAGGTAAGGTTAGGTCAGGTTCGATTATGTTTTTTTCTTTTATTTGCGAGACATATGAGTATCATTTTTGGGTTCAGGATGTCAAATAATGTCTAAATGTGAAAAATTTATCAATGAAATCTGCTTAGGACTTAAACTTGACTTTTACCACGTAACCTTACACCTACTCAACACCTAATACTAATCTCTTGTAGAAGGCCTGGCCAGGCTGGGTCAAGTGCTCGTATGGATTATCATGATGTTTGCTGCACTAATGAGCACCATTTTGAGATTCAGGACATTGAAAAACATGGAAAGCAACACAAAAGTTACCCTTCAAAAACCATGTGGGCCTCAGCTTCAGTAATACCAATTATTCTACTGCTGATCCCATCCCTTTCACTACTGTGCATTCCATACACCATATTCTTAATTGCTACTTAACCTAAAGTAATAACTAAGATCCTAAGAGCTCGATGAGAATGGGTTTAAAGGGTCCCAGGCCTCCCAAAATCTAGACAGCAGTAAGATAAGGGCAGGACAAACAATGCACCTGCACTGCACCACAGTAGGTATGCATTTATAACTAGGTTGGGGCCCACACCACTCCATAACAAATCTGCACCTCACCATGCATCTCCTGAATGCCTCTGCACAGACTACTGAGTAGATTCTGTCAAGATTATCTTGCTCTGTAGTCTGGACTCTGGAGAGTGGAGCTGGTTTAGTCCAGATAAGGCTACATGAGGTGACCACCTGAATGTATTATGATATTTGCTTTGCAAATAGTTTTAATGTTATTTTTTGATCCAGGACATCTTGAAACATGGAAAAGGACAAAACTGGTCATTGTGAAAAACCATTTGTACCTCAGTTTCAGTATCTACCCACTCTGATATTTCACATGGTTGGCTAAAACTCTTACACCTTCACATTTTCCATGCCATTTATAGGCAGTGTCTCATGGCGGTCACCCCCCCACCCCTCTATGCTACAACTGTAATTCCCAAGGTAATTCCAGCTCTCCTACCCCCCCTGACATCATTTTGTATCTCTGTCCTCAGCTAGGCTTACACCATGGATACTGCTACTCGTATCTCCGCCCTGACGGCTGACTCTACTCCGGAGGAGGTGAGCGGTGTGCTCTCCGCCGCCGCCTCTGCCGCTGAGACTGCCTCTGAGTCTGAGGATGCTGCACTAACCACCGCACTGACCGACGCACTACTGGCACTACCTGCCAGTGTATCGACCACCGGCGCCGGACAGCACCTCTGTCGACTGACCGCCGAGCTGGCCAAACGAGAGGAAAACCGCGCACGTCTGTCGGTTCCCTCGCTTCTCAGAAGACTGGTTGAGGTGCTAGCGGCTGCCGCTGAACCCAAAGAGGATGTTGACGATCTTGTTCAGCCATGCCGCGCGCTGGGTAATCTGTGTTATGAGGGCGAGCCAGCCCGTGCGGGGCTGCTCGAGCCACTGGGACCGGCGGCACTGACGGCTGCTGTTCTAAAGGCGACCACGGCTGGAAAGGACGGTGTACGAGCCCGTGAGGTGGCTAGTGGACTGGTGCTCAACTTCATCAATGATTACCCGGCTGGCGTGGATTGGGTGAGTGGGTGGGCTTGTGTGGGCTGATTTTGTGGGCAGCTGAGTCACTTTCAATTGAATTTTCAATTCAATTTCAATTCATTGTATTCACGTTAAATCCACTACTGCGGCTTTTCATCTACGCAACGTCAAACGTTAAAAAGAGTTGACATAACAAAACAGATACACACTCACATCACTGGGTCGAACGATCAATGAAGGTCATGTTACCGTATTCTGTGAATGTTACCATTTCGTGTCCGAAACTGGAACTGTTTGCTGGCTCGTCCCTAATTTCGTCAGTTGTGCGATCTGTCGCTCTAATAAGTATTATTATGTTTTTTTATGGAAAACTTTTTTTCAAATAGAACGGATTAATGAAGCTGAGCCCGCACTAACCAAGGCAATAAATCATCTTCGCATTACCAATTTATCTTCGTATCTGTCGATAAATCAATTAGAAGCGTCTTGCTGTAACGCATTTTTGCATTACCCCTCGTCTACCCGTGTTCGCATTCCAATCTTCCCTCGCTTGACTCTTTCGCCGTCTTCCGGCAGGCCGTTGACTCCGAGTCGCTAAACCGTCTGATCGCCTCTTGCTGTGATGACGTCACCCAATCGTCCCTATTACGTCACACTCTGGTGGCCGCAGCTGTAGTGGTGGACTCTCCACGACGTGAGGCACTTCTCGGCTCACGTTTGGCAGCACTCCTGGCCGTCTGTCTTCTACCTCAACGGGAACCTTCAGTGCTAGAGGAAGCCTTAGAAACTGCGGCTGCCTGGTGCCGACACGATGAAGCTCGCTTGGCTCTCGCTCATGGCGGGGTGGCGGATTCTCTAGTCTGTCTTCTCCCGGCTGTCAACTGCCCCGCTGAGGCCCGAGCACTTCTCGTGGAGCTTCTGAGTGGAGATCAGGCCATGGCGGCTGTATATCGGCGAGGGGAAGGAGCGGTCTATAAGGAAGTTCGACGCTGGCTGGCCGAGGGTGGTGGTGCGGCGGAGACGCTGACGGCCTGCGCGTGCGACGCCCTGAGCAACTTCGCTACCAATGGTGAGTATGGGCATGTGGAGTTGCGGGCAGCGATGATTGGTTTCTTTTAATGTACGTTTCCAGGTCTATTTGCCGAGGTAGTAAACGAACCATAAAGATGGGAGGCTGGATATTGAATTGAGGGAATATTGAATGGAAATATTAGAAGGATACAAGGGAAATAGCATTTGGTTGCATGTTTTGAAGTACTTAGCGGAATCACTCATGATGAATAGTTTGCATATAAGTCTTGCCTATGCAGCGAGTTTTTGTGCTTTTTCGTCTTTTGTGCTTTGTACACATCTTTTACCTCGTATCTTGATCGATGAACAACTTGGTCTCTGAGTCTCTCACCACGACTATATCCGAGAAAAAGAAGCATTATTTATAAGCATTCATTTGTTATGACATCTGAGCGGCATGGGTGTGTTTAAAAATGTTTCGATGAACGGTTAACACTAACACTCAGGAACTACACTATCAACGTAAATGAAAAACACGTTTCAACGCGATCATTTTCACGATCTGTACATTTCGTTCTACATGGTCACTCATGGCTAATATTTGTTCATTGATCATTTTCATAACATTGGATGTGATTCTCAATAAATGCATCACACTTTCCTCTTTTGATGAAAACAAGATCATGGGATACGTTGAATTGGTTGAAACATCGATTGTTAGCGTTTGCTATGATGTTGTATGATCATTGATCATTAAATATGGTTATGCGCATTATTTCACCGACAATTACGAACAATGGCACCATGGTTTGTTGTATGCAATAAATAAGCTTTCAACATTACAATCCCGCACACATTCGGTTGTTGGATTCCTATACGCACACTCAGTCAAGAAATACCACGACTGAGGTAGGTGATAAGCTTGCATCATCTTTTCCATGAGCTTGCACACTTCTCCTTTCACGCATCTGCCACTCAAATCATCGGCCGTAACTTTTGAGCCCGCTCTCTCCCATCCCCATCAGCTACTTTTTCCTGCCCACACCACGTCGTTTCTGCGGCACTGATCGACTGCGTTTGTGCCGACCTCCCATCTCGCCTGCCTGTCGCTGCTCCAGTTCACCCGTCGACGGACCGTCCCCCGTACCCGCTGTGACACTAGAGGAGCGATCGTCGGACGACCCAGCAGTCTCGTCGGCCCGACGCGGCGTTCGACAGTCGCCCAGTCCGACCAGACGAGGTACCCGACGCTCGGGTTCGTCGGTTAGAGAGCAACGTCTTCGACAGTCGGAGTTGAGAACATGTCGACAGGCTGTCTGTGTACTAGTGGCGCATAGACTACCGCAGTCAGCGGCGACGGCGGCGTCTCCGCCTGGTCTACTCGACTCAGCTTCCACCTGCATACTGTTCAGCTGGTGCAGAAGTTCGGCGAAGCTGCTGGCTGTATCGTGGTTGGTAAGGCAACCAGCGCGCGTCGTTGTGAGACAGTCTAGATCTGCTGGTAGGGACGGTGCCCTCTGCACCGCCGCGAGTCTACGTTCCAGCTCTTGTAACCGCTGGAGCGCTGCTGTTCTCTCTCGGCCTAGGTGGGCGATGTATCGTGCCGCTAGTTGTAGTTTATACCTCAGCTCCCGCACGGTGGCTGGAGAGGTATCTTCACTCTCCTTGGGGCTGGGTAGTGCAGCAGTGGGGGCAGTATGACCCGTGGTATCCCCTCCGTCTAACAGACTTCTCAAATAGGCCGTCTCCTGCCGCAGGAACTCTGTACTTCGTGCGGCTGCACGGTGTCGTTCTAGCTCAGATTGCGCCGCTCGCACTGTCTCACACTGCGCTGCGATTGTCTCATTTAGTTTAGCGTTTGTGATGAGCAGCTGACGTAGCTGAAGAGCGCGAGCGTCGTCTACTGAACTACAGCTAGAACAGTGAGGTGACACCGCCCCCGTCGGCCGTTGCTGTTGTCGATCCAGCTCGTCGCGAAGCCGGCTCACCAGAGTCCGCAGTCGGCTGTTGTCCCTCTCCAGCTGTTGAACGTTATCGCCGCCAGAGTTCGCTTGTAGCGCTCGCTGTAGTCGATCGCGCTCTCCCGTCACCTTCTCGGCGTATTCTCTGAGTCGACCGGCCGCCGCCTGCCACTGAGCTAACAGCCGGCGTGTCTCCTCTAGTCGTCCCTCGGCGGAGCGCGAGCTCAGCTCGTCCAGTCTCAGCTGCTGACGTTCCAGACGACCGCGCAGCTCCGCCAGACTCAGCTCGCGAGCTGCCAGCAACTGCGCAGCCTCACGTCGCTCCTCGGCACGCTCGCGGCCGGTCGAGGCTGCCGCTGCCGCGGCCTGCGTCAGCTCAGCTTCCAGCCGCTGACACTCGGCCTGCGCGGCTGCCGCCTGACCGGCCGCCTGTCTCGCGCGCTCCTCACCGCTCCTGACCAGGCCCAGGAGCCGCTCCTGTTCTGCTCCGTGACTGCGTTCCACCTCGTCCAGAGCGGCGGCTGAGTTTCGCTGCAGCTCCGCATACCGCTCCTTCCAGTCAGACTCGAGCGTGCGGATACCCTGCACCAAGAAACCGATCTTTTTCGACTTATCGGCCAGTTTGGATTCTAGCTCGACTCGGGACGCCTCCCACTCAGTCTCCATCTTTTTGGCGCGCTCTTGGTGCTCCTTCAAGCGCGCCTTTTCCGTGCGTAGCTCAATCTCCACCGTCTCTCGCGCTTCACGGGCGTTGTTGAGCTCGGCACGCACCGTATCCAACGTGCTCTCCTCCTCCTTCAGATATCCCTCCATTTTCCCTATGGCTACTTTCATCTGTAGCTCAGCATCTGCTGACTTCTCCCGCTCCTGCTCTGCATTCTCCAGACGCCGCGTGAGCCAGTCTCCATTGCGCCGCGCCGCTGCGAGCTCTTTTTCTATCTGACGCAACTGGTGAGCCTGGGTTTCATTCTCTTCACGTAGCTCTTGTGACGCTGCCTCTACTGCCTGCTGCTTGGAGATGACGTCGTTGAGCTTTGTGCTGAGTTCGTCCCGTTCTTTCGTCAGCCGCCGTGACGCCTGCTCCGCCTGCTCCAGACGACGCTGAAGCTGCTGGACTTCCTGTGCGCGAGCGCCGCTGTCACCCAGCTGCTGCTCCAGCTGGCGCCGCTGTTCATTCAGCTCTTCAACAGTGCGCTGGAAACGCCGCCGCTCCTGCTGGAGGGACTGCTCACGACCCTGGACGGCATCCTCCAGGCCTCTGATGCGCAACTCCTGCAGTGTTCTCCACTCCTGTTCTTTGCGGCGTGCGACTTCTGCGAGATCGCAGAGCGACTGTCGCGCGGCAGCCATCTCGGCGAAGCTGGCCTCGGAGTGGCGGCCCTTTTCGGGTGAACCGCCCGGCGTGAGCTTGCTGAACTCCTCTCGACTGAGCGCGCCATCCATACCTGGTACGATGAAGAACTGGTCTGACTGGTCGATTAGCTGGGCGGTCGAAGAGCTCTGAGACTGTGAGAGGCTAGCGAAGGATGAGGTGCGTGGCATGCTGGTCTGACTGAGGGTGGCATCGGCCGGCCGGCGTAGTTCGAAGTCCTGCGGTGTCTTGAGCTGCAGCGATGCGGGCCGCGGCCGGGACGGGCTCTGCTTTTGTAACTGTTGCTGTTGCTGATAATGGTGCGTTGCCGTACCTTTTGGCTGTTGCATATTGCAAGGCGAAGGACGGCAAGAGGGGATGGCAAGTTATGCATCGAATACAATTAGCTGAAAGAAGCCTATCCGTTACGTTAGCAAGTAGGCAAACTATAGGGCAGTTTGTATAACACAGTGAAAAATCATCTGATTTAATAGCTATTTAATAAAAGCAGGTTTTACTTTTGTTTACTTAGCGCCAAGTTTGCGCAATATTCGCCGATGTCTTCAGCTCCGTTGAATTTTGATGTCGTTACGTCGTTACTACGGGATCTTTGCGCGTCGAGTCCCTCCATTCAGGAGAAAGCTATGTTTGAGAATGTCCATTGTGCGTGTCTTTTTACATGCGTCTGATCAGTGATCAGAGATGTGAACGAATACTGACAGTGACAATGACGTGCTGATTCCTTTCAGATGACCACGCGACAGGGATGGTGCGCTCCGGAGTGCACCTGGACCTGGTTCCCCAGCTGAAGTCGGACAGTGCCCGGCTCCAGATGGCTGCGCTGAGTCTGCTGCGGAACCTCTGTCTCCCATCAGCCAACAAAGTGGCGCTGCTGGAGGCCGGTATGCTGGACCACCTGCTGAGTCTCTCCGTGGTCGAACAGCCGGCACTGTTCAAGGTTAGAAATATGTCGAATGGGACAGCTCAGTAAGCTGTATGCAATCTCAGTGAGTTGTTTTGTTGGGCTACGGAAATCGTCTGGAAAACAGCTTGCTGTGAGCGTATTTATAGCTGCACTTCAAGCACGGTAATTTGTCGTTTTATCATGTCATGCATTTCATGTCGAACAATCAAAAAAATTGTAAAAACGTGATTGTATTTATTCATTTAATAATGGCAGGAAAATTATCATGCGGTTTTGTCTAAAAGTCATCTTCGCAATTTAATTGAAGACTGAGGAGGAGGACATAGACGGCGGAACGGGGAAGGCACCGGGGCACCGTGCCCCCCTTTGATTTTGGTATTTTAACATTAGCCCTATGGGCGTTGCATGGAAAGAATGGGACCAAAATTCGGCAGTGCCCCGTTAGTTGAAGGTGTTCCGCCGCTACTGGAGGAGAACCGTTTTTAGGTTTAACATTATCAATGCGTGTTTCGTGTTGTGTGTAAAACCGTTAGCTTTTATGAGTCATATGCATACGTCTGGTCGTTACGGCAAGTTCTTTTTCAAATGATTACGAGCATGCAGGGTTGTGCTCGACTCAAAAAAATTTGCTGACTCGACTCATCATTCAACTTCAGAAAGCCCTGACTCAATTCTGACTCGAACAAGGAGCTGATTTTTTCCCTTGACTCGACTCATGACTCAAGCGGCTCAATGAACATATGAGTTGACTCAAACTTGACTCAAATTTTTTGTTGAGTCAAGTGTGTTGACTCAAAATTGACTCAGGCAAAAGAGTTGTTGAGCGAGGGGGGGGGGGGTTAAAAAAAATCCGGCAGCAGTGCCAGGCCTAAGTTGTTAAGTGGGGGGGGGGGGGGGAGAATGAAAAGCCTTTATATTGTTTCTAGAAAGATGAGTCAGCTGACTCATGTTCCTAAATGTTTTTGACTCAACTCAATGTCAAAAGTTATATTACTGACTCAACTCTGACTCAACTCAACGCCTTAATATTTTTGTCTGACTCAACTCTGACTCAACTCAACAGCTCAACATTTTATCCGACTCGACTCAAACCTGACTCATCTGAGTCAGAGTCGAGTCAAATTTCTGACTCGACTCATGAGTCAAGCACAACCCTGCGAGCATGACTTAGTCTCCCGTACACCCGTGAAGACACTCAATTTTTACGACACATACCGACTCTGAGCTTTCGATAAAGACCATTATGCTTAACAGAAAGATCAGCTTTATTGGAAAACACAAGTGGATATTAAAAAGACACTTGAAGAAACTTTACAAAGAAGGTGTGACTAACCAGTTATACACCTACCACAAAACGTATTCACGTTCTCCCACATACATGCTCCACAACAACAGTTGGACTTTTACCCATCCAATCTTACAAAGTCGAACACCGCAACTTAACGTCATGTCCTGGCCACACCAATCGCATGTTTGACAAGCTCAGATACATTTCAGAATCCAGAGTATGTGGACCAACCATGTCAAGCGAGCGCGGAGATATCTCCGAACCCAAGGACGTCCGCTGCCTTCTTCCGCTATCACACTGCGCTCACAGTCCAACCGATGGTTTCACTGGTAATCCACCGCTGTACCGAGATCGGTCCACTCTCGGCACTGTTCTCACTCTCCCGCGGGTCGTGCCTGTGTCCGATTCACTGTATCAATCACCTGCGGTCACCCTCATGGCAGCGTGTCTCGAGTCGTCTCTCACACCCCATCTCGTCATCTGCACATCAGCTCGCACTCTATCACCTCTAGCCCTCCGTGTAGAGCCTGTAGGGCTCCAGACGAGCCAGCTCTTTATCACTGAGTCCCAGGCTGCGCAGGTGGGGCCCGAAGGTGGCCGTCAGTCTGAACAGCGCCGTGGCGGTGGCAGCTCGGAGGCCAGATGCCAGACGAGGTACGGGAGCACCGCCTCCTCCGCGGCCCGCACAGCCGGCCAGACGACGAACACGCTCCAGTACGGCTGCTAGCTCGAGGAGCGCGCGCAGGAGCGGACCGAGGTGTCTCTGAGCCACGCCGTAGCGGTCTTCGGTCAGGGAGGCGACTCCGAGCGCACTGAGACCGCTGACGGCCCAGAGGGCGGGCCGGCCGTCGGCCAGAGCAGCTGCGGGTCGCGAGTCGGGCCACTCAGTTAGCAGAGCGCCGAGAAGAGGACGACGCTCCAACCAGCCGCGGAGACGGTCCAGTAGCACGGCCACCTCCGAGCGTTTCGGCGCGGCGGCCGGACGCGGAGGAGCGCCCCCGGTCAGGTCACGCAGCCCGGTGAAGTCGGGCTTGTTGGTAGTGATCGATGGTGAGTTGTTGTTGTCTGACGGCGGAGCCAGGGCAGTTTCCAGACGTTGGGTGAGGCTGGTGATCTGCCCCAGGGAGGAGGCCGCTAGTTGGTTGAAGGTGTGCGGGTGGCCACCCGGTTGGCTGAGTGAGAAGGCAGGCGCGCGTCGGTCCGCCCCGCGCCGCGCCAGCTCGCTGAAGTCCAGGAAGGCGAGGTGTTGGAGCAGGGGGCAGCTGGTGGCCTCCATGGCTGCAGTCATCGCCATTGGTGAGGCAGCTTCCTGGGTGGATTTCACCTCCAGGGTTAGAGCCTCAGTCTGGAAGGTCTCAAAGATGGAGAGGCCCATCTGGAACATGAACCTGGAGAGCGTGCCGAGAGTGAAGGCGTTGAGGAAGAGAGTAACACTGAGGAGTCCGAACACAGAGTCAACTGCGACACCCTCTCTCGCAACATCAATGTTGTTGGTGAAGAAGCCACACAGCCAGTTGCCATGCAGGAAGTAGAACAGGTAGAACCACTTCATTGTCTGCAGGTTCTCAATCATTGCCATCCACAGGTTGCCCTTCAGGACATTGGTCAGTCTCTCAGACAGTGGCTGCTGGGCTACCGGGAAAGTGACTAGGTTCCTGTTGTCACAGAAGTAGCTGACACTGGCAAATATGCTACTGAATGCAGCTTGGCAGACCAGGAACAGGTGCTTTTCATTGATGCACTTGTGGTCTTTATCATTTTGGCATGGCACAAACAGGTTTGCTATTTCCGTTGAACCGAACAGTCCCAGATAGCTTCTCATCAAAAATGCTGAAATGACCATGTGACTTGCTATGGTTCCCAATATGTGTTTGCTTGAGAGGTGGGCTAGATAGTTCAGCCAGCTCGAGAAAGTCATTGGCTTTACTGAATACCAGGCTGCATGAATGAAGCCCATTGCACAGGTCAGACCGACAATAACTAGCAAATACAGCCACGATGTTGGATGAAGAAGCGCCAACCAGTGACTTGCTACACTGTAGAAGCTTGTGTTGATGGCAGCCAGAGGCAAAATCGCTACAAAATATGCTGCTAAGTGGCACGCTATCCCACAAAGCAAAGCTTGAGCGCACCGTGAATTGTAGATGTTAGCTTTGAATGACTCAATCGCTGTCTGCGCTGTTGCACCCATTTTCGCTGAGGCCACCAGTAACTGATACACTATCTAAAATTGCTGTTATTAATTTCCCAAATGCCAACAACTTTCAACTATTGACTGAAAAACACTGAAATGAAAATGCGCCGGCGCTCGCTCGTGTTTCCGCAATTCGTCTTTGTGCGCCACGAATGCCTTTGGTACTTGTGTTTGAAATAGAGAACATAGTGGTGGACAAGTATATTGAAGTACTGAAATATAACATTTTCTTTTCTCAGGAAAACATACATTTCATGCTGGTTTATGCTCAAACATTAATTTCCATGTAATTATCTCCACTTTTCAAATGTTTGATTTTGATTTATTATCGACGAAATTGTCTCGACGTGGCAGTGCCGTGCAACTAGCGACACCTGTCTTATAGTAAAGTATCCAACCGCTAGGCGGCAGCACATGCTGAGGTATAACAGCTGAGAAGCCAGGGATAGTCCCATAAGCCTCAGCCCAACCACGAGAAATGTCACATCCATGATCCATAGCATGACTGTGTATCGTTTCAAATGCAGATTTGACCTGGAAGAGCAGGAACATTCGGCCCCGCTCGCTCTATTCATGCCAGTCGTTCTGCGATCTTCGGTCACTAATGGCTAGGCTTCTGACGCTTGAGTTGAGCCACCGATATTTGTGCTGACGGAATGCATCCTTTCTCCACAGTACTACGGCACCCTGCGTCTGCTGGTGGCCGACAGTGGCGACGCCTGTGGCCGTCTGGCGAACCAGCCGGGTCTGCTGGAACAAGTGGTGACGGCTGCACGGGGTGACGGCCCGTATGGGGTCCAGCACGAGGCGTGTCGACTGCTGGCCAGGCTCGTCCGCACGGCACAGTAAGTCGCAGTGGGTCTGGGTTCATAGTCGGCGGAACGTGGAGGGCACCGGGGCACCGTGCCCCCCTTTGATTTTGGCATTTTAACATTAGCCCTAAGGGCGTTGCGTGGAAAGAATGGCACCAAAAGTCGGCAGTGCCCCCCCCCCCCCCTTAATTGAAGGTGTTCCGCCGCTACTGTCTGGGTTCCAAGCCAGTGTAACATGCAAGGAACAAATGATATCGGTATACAAAAGTAATGCAGCTCGAGTAACCCCTGTGAGGACACTGCACAGCGAAGTTTTACGGGCCTCCCAGATGAAAAATGTTTCCTGTTAGCCGAATTGTGCGACCACTTTCTCTGTTACCTTAGCTGTGTGCACACGGTTACCAATTTATCAGTTGTTGCATATTTATGTAACCCGTCTTAGGAAGTGTGCGGGCACCTTGCCACCGTTTCCCCCTTATCCCGAGTCCCCGACCGTTACCCGTCTCCACTGATGTGCTCGCACATTAATCGTTTCTCCGTTACCCCAGTTGTTCCGACACATTACCCCTCCCCACTCCCCCAGGAGTTCTGATGTGTCTCGCGCGGTGGTGTCCGCCGGCGGTCACTCCAGTCTGGTGCGTCTACTGCGGGCCGATAACGCCGTGATGACCAACGAGGCCATCATGGCCCTGTGTCACACGGCGCCGCTCACTGAGGCGGCCGAGCTAGTCAGGTGAGGAATAGGGAGGAGGGGGAGAGGAAGAAGGGTAAAGAGGAAGGAAAGATAAAGGTTGAGATGAGGGAGAGGGAGAGAGGAGAGGAAATCCGAGGAGAGGGAAAGGGAAGATGAGAGGAGGGGAAGAGGGAGAGAGCAGGGAAGAGCACGCTGCGGGATGAGTCGATTAAGATGGGTAGACCGAGACGGCTGGGTGTCTGAGGATTGAGCATTGGAAGGGGAAGAAAAACGGGCGGTGAAGTGAGGGTGCGCAACTAGGAAGGTGACATACGCACTGATTGATGTGAAAGGGAAGAATGAGTGGACGAAAAAAAAGAAAATGGGTGGCACAAATGATAAAGGGGCGAGCGCAAAGAAAGCTTTTGTAGAAAGCGGCGCAACTGTCTGGAGCTGTGTGGCGCCGATCTTATAGGACTAAGCTCTCCTGTGGCATATGCCACTAATTGCCGCTGTACCCGTAACACGATACGTCTCGATGCCCACAGCTCTGAGCTGGCCGACGCCATGACTGCTGTGATGAACAATGCCGAGTTTCCCGTCCAAGTGAAGGAGAACGCCGCCACGCTGCTCATCCTGCTCAGGTCACGAGGTCGGTACACAGGTCATGAGGCCAATACACAAATCACGAAGTCAGTATAAAGCGTTCAGAGTGATAAGTCAGCGAATAGTTCATCCAGTCGTGATTGGTCAGGGGAAAGGTCACCAGGTCATTAATAGGTCACGATGTCAGTGACATGTCACCAGGTTAATGAGGACTCTGTTCTGATCGTGTGGTTAAAGGGACTATCCCATCTTTAACATGGGGTTTGAGTTGAGATAGCCAAGTTTGCGGCGAGGTTCAGAAACCACTATCTATCTAGGTTGCAACCCCCGCGGCCTCTTGGTGTTGAAGAAATTCGTTCCCTTCATTTGAAAATGGGCCTTGCACAAGGCCCTATCTTCAACATGGAGCGACCGTTAGTGTGACGTCACCTCGTTTAGTCATTCTGATTTAAATGGGTTTGTTCGTTGAAAAATCGCTTAAAACTTGGTCTGAACTTTGTTGTGGTGCCTACAGAGTAAAAAGAATCAGCTTTATGACAGTAATGTGGCCTGGGGAAGGAGGTAATTTTGGGCTGTGACGTCACATATTTGAAAGTTTGTGTTTGGAATATGGGAAGCCTAAGATGTTTAATGAAAAATAAATGGCAGAACCGTGTTCCTGGTCATCCAATTTATAAAGTCGGGCACAATTTAACTGGTTTTAACAACATTTTAGAAGGTGGGATAGTCCCTTTAATGTAAAGGTCATCTGATCTGACAGGATTGAGTACGAGATGCAGACCCAGCCAGTAGGTTGTAATGATGGAGACATTTTGGTCACTGATTAGACTGTGTGTCAAATTACAGCTCCGAACTTCAGCCCCGATTCGTCATTGGTGTCTTGTGTGGTGATCCGTGTATTGTGTCGTTATTCACACATTGCAGCACCGTGGTTGTTATTGCCAATTGGCGCATCACGCCCTTTGTTGATGGGATGTTCGTTTACTATCGTGTTTGTACCTATAACGTCACTAATCTCCGCCTTCTGACCTGTCCCTAGGGGAGCCAGAGATGGCGGAGGCCCTCAGCGGAGTGCCGCAGTTGGATCCAGCCTCGGCTGTGGACCGGTAGGTCACGTCACGTCATCACACGTCAGAGGAACGTCAGGTGACGTGACGTCATCGAGATGGCGACGTCAGTAACGCGCACAACGAATTAATCTTGGTGGGATTGACGGTGATAGTCATGCTGTGAATGGACATCACAGCTTGAAGATTTTCTAAGCAGCGCAGCAGCAAGTCGGCGAAACGGCTGTCTGAGTAAAGACATTCTGAGTGGAATGATATCGTCTGGAGCTCGCATTTATAGTCATTTTTGAACCACCGCTATCTTATGCAGCAAACGCTCATGAATTGCTTTTGTAAGTGGCTATTGTATCTGTGAGGTTAGATGCTCGTTTGAGATGCTCGGAGCGACTGTGTGAAGAACCGTGGAATGTGTTGTGCTGTCCGCTTTGAAGCCTGATGCGTGGCTGTTTTTCGACTCAGTTAATCGGCAGCCACCACTGAGCCATTGATACAATCAAACAAACATTCGTATTTAGTCGAGTCTGAGGCAGTTCCTCATTTACGCGTGTCGATTGAGCATTGAGTCGTACGAGTATGTCTTGTGAAGACTCACTTATTGCCGGCTTTAGTTCGTCCTGTTTATCCTGTGGAACAACCGATGTGCAACCCGCCATAACTTTGAGTTGTTCATTCCTGGGCATCCAGTCATTCGGTTTTGTTCATGCTTTCACGCATATTTTGTTACTACTGGCGTTGCTATGGCAACAAGCCTGGAGCCTGACTTGGGCCCGACGCCTAATTCAATTGGGCCCGACGAGCCTTGTCATTGTGCTTCGTCGACTCTGATCAATCAGCTTTGCGGCTGGTGAGCCGTAACTGTTTTGCGCGATGACCTGCTTTGTTTGCGTTGTGGTTTGCAGGGGGGGGGGGGGCGAACCCTGTGTCATGGAAAATGGCAAATATCCGTAATACAGTGTTTCGCTATGATGAGCTCTGTAAACTGTAGTTTCAAAGATTGAACGTTGACGAATTGATTAGCTCCTTTCAAGATGAAAATGTTGACAGCGCTTTACGAGTCACTGCTAGTGCGAGCCACTGCGTGAAAAGCACAGACATCTTTCGCACGTTGTATCTTAACCACAATCCTGATAACTGGCTGACATCAACTCAGTTACATTATCAGCAAGCCATCCCATGGCATCCACCACACTGCAACAACTCACTTTCTCACCCACTCGCTCACTTTTAACTCTGTCCATACGCCTTGCCGACTAGAACCTATGAGGTCGCACTGGGTTGGTGGGGTCGCAGATCTTCGGATCGCGCAGGAACTCGACCTCTTTCATCATGACACCCATGTATCCACAAGCTATCGCCTTCTTGTACTCCGCATCAAGTTTTTCGTGCTGCTGACGGCACAACCCAGTCACGTGCCGGCCGTACATACGGCCCGTGAAAGGCGACATGAACTGACTCAGAAGTCGGACGTTCTTGTAGTCGAATCGTATGTTGTGGCGGCAGGCTATGCACAGGCGGCGTTCCTCCTGGTAGGGGTTATCCATGGAGAAGAGGGGTGCATCAGAGGACGCTGCTGCTGCTGCTGCTGCTGATGGAGCATCTGTTGGAGGGGATGCAGCTGTGCTGGTAGAGGCAGTGTTGGCACCACTTGCTGCTGGTACTGCCGCTGCGTCACTGGCTGTTGAGCTGAGACGAGCAGTGAGCAGAGCAGGCAGGCGTCGGGAGCTGGCCCTCAGTAGGTGCATTGAGTGCGGAAGAAGACTCATGGCCACCTGAAAATGGCACAAAAATGGTTTGATATGGCACTGGCACTTAGCTGGTTGACCTCAGCTCAGTTTCAACAATACAATTTCTATTAGGTGTGAGAACAAAGCACAGGTCACAGCTTATATTTTTTGTTTTTATGAATTTACATAAGTACCTACTTCAGTGGAATACTATCCCCGTGAAATGTGTATTAAATGGCACCCTTATTTTTACACATGATAAACACATTATATGCCTGTTTTAAAATCTTAGAATTGAATGTAAATGGCAAAAAGCATCATAATGACCACAGAACAAAAATAGGCAGTCACATACCTATCAGCCAAAACAATGAAAAGCCAAATGAAAGAAGGCAGCTTATGGGACTCCTTTTAGTGAAGCATACACAGCAGCAGTTTTCCAAATGTAAAATTAACATTTACACTGTGTCCACAGTAGATAGAGAAACGTATCTCGACTACAATTTAGGAAAAAATGCAAATATCATACACAACTTTCACCAGAGCACAAGCAGGGACACTCACCGTCTCACGAAAACGCCTGTAGCAAAATTGAAAAGGCAGCACAAGTAAAAGCCTTAAGTTATCAACCACACATTAGCTACTAGCTACTTCATACACAACTTTATCAAAACAAGCTATTTTTTTTTGTAATAAATAATAATTGGTAATTATTATTTCATTTGCCGAACCAGCCGCACGAGATACATGTTACGCATGTTACACGAATCGCTTCACGACTGTAGCACGTGCGCAGTAAATGGCGCAAAGCAATGTTATTTCGCTGCAAAAAAATGCACTAACTTCTAACAAAATTTTACGCACATTTTCATACAACACCACCCGCCTAGACGTTCCGCGGTTATTGGTTCACAAGTAAGATAGCCGATTATACGTATATTCGATATTACGGAGCAATTGCCTGTCTATCGTTCCTTTCACGCAGCGGCCTGTTTGTACCATTTCCATAAGTCATAACAAACATACGACTCTCACATTGGTCAAACCGAACCAGCACTTTGACGTCACCGAATTAATAGCATCATCATATCAAACTCATCATTTCTCTCCCGTCTCTAAAAACACCAGCGCTGCGTTGTCCCCATATATTCACTCCAGCCCCATCGGCACCCCTCCCGGCGACTCTCAATCGTCACCGTCCGGCCATCCGCCGCCCCCTTCCCCGACCCCTCCGTTGCGCGCGCTGTCGACTGTGACGCATGGTTCTGAACAGCTCCACCAGCTCGGGACGCTGCTGCTCTGCCCGCTCCCGCAGCTCGTCCACGGAAGGTGCTGATCGGACCCACTCCAGGCCCTCTGTAAAATGATCGGATACGAGTGTCAAGAAACGTCGATCCGGAGGGGTGACCTATTGCCTGATGTTACAGACAAACGAGCTTCTTTCAATCACAAAGCTTCGAGGAGCAAGATATCGAAAGTCCTGTTATGTAATTTAAACGAAAACATTTACAAAACTAGGAACTAGTGACTGCGAATTCTCACCCTCGAGTCGCGGGTCATCTTTTTGCAGGAAGAACTTGCGCGCCTGCGTCCAGCCGCCGCCCGCTGCGACACCTAGTGACTGCACAGTGCTGCCATCTTCCGCCTCGTCTTCGGAACTACTCGAGTCGTAACGGAACGGATTGGCGGCGGCACCCTCAATGCTGTGACGCTTCTTCTTTTCCTTTATTTCAGACGTCTTGTATTCATCTTCTTTTTCATCTTCATCTGAAAAAAGAATCAGGTTATACAGTGGTTGCTACTTTATGACCCACATAACGCGACAAGCTATCCCAAAAGGTGCGAAACTGACCAACGCCAAAATCAGAAAAGGGTCAACTCTTCCACGAATGAAACATATGAATGATCTTCTAAAATGATAATGAAGGCCGCTTAACTTATAACAAAGATCTTATACACAATACGCAATATATGACAAGGTACATACTTCTAACCAATCTTAGCTTATGACTCTGACAGCCAACTAGCTTTTGCTTAACTAAAACAGGATTACACCTATCGTTTCGTCTTTCAGCGTCGCCCCAGTTGCACCCATCCTCTCACCATCATCTGCCGCTCTGCCCATCATCTTCAGCAGGCTGAATCCTCCCCCGCCGCCGGTAGAACCTCCGCGGCTGAACAGGTCTCCCAGCTGCGGTGCCACCTGGTAGAATGTGCCCGATTCTACCGCAGGAGCCGGGGCGGCAGCGGGGGTGGTGGCTGGGGTGGGGGTACGGTCGGCGTCCAAAGACTTCTTCTTTTGTTTCTGCTTCTTGGCGTCGAGCTGGTACTGGGCGTGCGACTCCAGGGACGGGTCGAACCGCACCGGGCCGCTGTCGCTGTATCGGGAAAGAACACAGGGTCACGTTAAAAATATAGCTCTGGAGGGAAGTGTCAGCAAGAGACATGGCAGCAGAAAAGAAACTGGGTCGCCCCCTGGGCTAGGGGTCGGCGACGTGACGATTCCGTCCGCCGTGATTGAATTGATGGAATATGTTGATTTAATTGAGCTTATATATAGTAGTAAAGAGCTCACATAAGTTTATTTTCTGCTGTTCATATGCCTGCAGTCTGCACTACTTAGATCGACCAAAACATCAAACATTCAAAATTTGCAGAACAACCATTACGTGTTTGCCGAAGGTTTGTGGTGACTGTAAGTACTACTAAGTACTGAAATTGGATGTTCATCCATCCGCAGCGTACCCACCTGTTCTTCTTTTTGGCGAGTTTGCCCTTCCTCTCTGGCTCTGCGGCGGTGCCGAGCACGCTGTCCAGGATGTTCATCTGCTGACGGTGCTCCTCCCGCACCTCCTCTCCTCTCTCCTCCTCCTCCTCTCCTCTATCCTCGGGGGACTGTTGGTCCTCTTCGGCGAACCGCTCGTCCAGCGTGAACCGGTCGTCCGCACCGAACCGAGCCTGGAGTGCCTGTAGCTGCACGGAAGGGCGAAGGGGTAATGTGGAGGGGTAACTGAGTAACGGTGCCGCGGGATAATGCGACGGAGTAAAATGTATAGTAACTGTGGGATAAAATCAGGCCTAACCCAAGCCTGGAGTGCCCGCAACTGCACGGAGGGGTAACGGAGTTAGTAAGAGGGGTAGGGTAGGTAAGGTGGGTGGTAACGCACGGATAAAATAAGCGAAAAACGAGCCCGCGTCAAGCCATCGCACCCACGGCCGCGGCGATCGGTCACCTAACACACAAATTCATATAGCCAACCACCACTGTCACTCGCCCTTCATCCCAGGCCTTTCCACACACACCATCTGCTCACCCCCAAACAATTAAGTTCTGCACAATAGCTTTCAAATGCCGTTTGTGTGTACACCGGGCATGCATTTATCATGTATTTATTGCATTTATTGTTCCATGTATTTCCCCTTTGTGACCTCAGCTTATCTTATTTCACCCCATCCCACCAACCTTTTGTCCCTTGGCTCCCTCGTACTGCGGCCGGACTCTGAAATCGTCAGCGTCCTCCTGCTCCTCCTCTTCGTCCTCGTCCTCCCCAAACAGGCTGGGTCCTCGGCCGGGAGTCCTCCCGACTCCTCCCGAGGACTCCCGCTCCGGCTCGGCGTCTTCGTCATCCGAAGCGTCGAACACGATCCGCTTGTTGGGACGCGGTATGTCTGCCTGGGAAGGGATAGACGTGGGTTAGATAACGCTGAACTAGGGAGGTAGGGCCAACAGGAATCACATCCAGCTGCTAGCTAGCCACGAAGAAAGTATGCGAAATAAGCATTGACTAAGAGAAGATTTGAAACAAATTTTGAATAAATGCAGGCAGATGTGTCAACATCAGCTTAAAAAAGTATGAGTTCTGAGGCTGAAGTCTGAAAAATAAGTTAAAACGAGCTCTCAGACAAAGCACAGTGTAAGGTTAGTTCGTCTTACTTCTTATATATCTTTTACGATAATTTCTACAAACAAATCTCTGATTTATTATTCAAAACCTAGTTGTTTGGAGAAGCTGTTCGAAGTTGTGAGACCCTCACCAAGCTGACAGGGCTTAATCTGACTTTAATCAATCTAGTCTAACCACGACTCACCTTTGCCGAAAGTGCCAGCTGCAGCGCCCGCTTCTGACTCTGGAACGCCTCCTGTTTCTGTCTCAGTGACGCCATCCGCCTCTCGTTATCATCCACCGCCGTCTGACCCCGCCTCACCACCGGAGCGGGGGCGGGGGCGGTAGGACTGGCGGTGGCTGCGGCTTTGGCCGTAGAAGTAGCGGGGACGTTGGCGGAGGCTTTGGGAGTGGCTTTCGCGGTGGAGACGGGGGTGGCAGTGACGGTGGCGGGAGCGGCTGCGACAACAGGGGTGGTGGCGGCGCGTCGAGCTGGCACAAACGGTTCCCGAGGTGTACCATCCCCGTCGTCTCCCCAGACCGAGCTAAACGCCTCCAGACGGGACAGAAAGTCTCCACTGACTGGAGTGTGAGAGGCAGGGGCAGTAGCGGGAGACGATGACGAAGGAGCCGGGGATGGAGAGACAGTGGAAGCAGGAACAGCAGACTCTGACACAGGAGCAGTTGGGGTCAACGTCCGGGCGCCACCGATGCCTCCAAACATTCGCAGCGCGCCCCGCGTAGGCGGAGGCTCATCTCCATCCCCGCCCGCCTCTACCCCGACCGGAACCGGAGGCGGAGAGACCTCTCGTGACTTCTTTTTCTTCTTACGCTTTGGTTCAGGAGACTCATGGTGTCCGTTCTGAACCGGCGCCGGCGCTGAGGAGGGAGCTTCCTCAGTAAAATCTACCACACCGCCTGACGCGACGTCCTCCGAACGTCGTTTCTTTGACGCCAGCACGTCATCCAGAATCCTGTCCTGCATGGTGCGCCTTCTGGGTGGAGGTGGGGGAGGTGGAGGACGGCCCGCCGGGCGGTTCTGCTCCCTTTCCCGCTGCAGCTTGGCGAGGAAGGACTCCTTGGCCAGCTCCAGTTTGAGCCTCTTGCCCTTCCAGAAAGTGCCATTTAGACGTCTGAAGCCTGCAATGTGGGCATGGTGAAGTACAGGTGTGAGAAAAATCTTTAGGAGGCGACTTTTATCACGAAAGCTCAGCAATGTTGGAATTTGATACTTAACAAAACAAGACACAAAACAACAAGTTTCTGTCCTAAACAAAAAGTACCTACCTACACAAATAATTACATTAGGTATCTTAAACATGCATGATATCCAAGTCAATGCAATAAGTAGCAAAATACAAATGAAGAAATTGACTGACACATATTATGTTTCAACATAATCACGAATGAAATGCCAAAATTCTGATTCACAGTTTCTGCTGTATAACTCCAATGGCCAATCCATCAACCACTTCACTTACACTGTGTGATTTGAGGATCAGTGGTTTTGACGTTTACATAAGCAAATACAAAGTTTACTACATTGTTCTCTGAACGCTTCTTGATTTCAACACTATCAACATCACCAAACTTTGAGAACAACTGTCGCAGATCCTTATCTGTTGCCTCATGGTAGAGACCGCCCACATAGACTCGCTTGGATTCCATTATTGACAACCTGTAAAGAAAATAAGGGGGTATCAGTAAGCCTGGCATCATACAAAGATACCAGATTGTGAAGGTAGAGATTTGGCACTATCTGGATTCTGGTATCAGTAAAAACATAAACTAACCTAACCTAGCCTTGCCTATTAACCTACTGACCTACAAACCTACCCTGGTATCTTCAAGTGACACCACGCTTACTAAGACCAATGAGGGCTGGGGTGACCATGTGAATTGGAATAGGTAGGTACACATGAACATAATGCTGATTTCTCAGCTAAAATGTCAATTAAGTGTAGTAACACATCACAAATGAGAGTTGCTACTTAAATGACACATTTACACATTAATTGCTTGAAAAACAATTCCAATTCTGAGAGGCACATCTCTGTCCTCATCACTATCCTGGCCCCTGGGTGGCGCTTCACACTTCACAGATGCTGCCAGCCAGGGTATATTGAGGCTGCCAGCGCACTGCCAGGAGCACATGGAAATTTGGGTTTCCATGGAAACATCAACAAGCCCATAGCTCCAACACTTCAAGCATGACGTCAGCTCACAAAATGCACTGGCAGTCACGGTGGCTGGTAGCGTGGTTGTGAAACACTGCCCTGCCATCATTAAAAACAAAAATAGCTTAACATTTTATGAATGAAAATCAGTGGCATGTTGTGCTGAATTTGTGCAACATTACACCATTGACAAAAATAAAATATGACATTAATATTCAGCAGGCAAACCAGGTTGGTGTCTATACCTTTTACCAAGCCTTTAACAAAGGGGGCGTTCCACGACAAATCGACAAGTGCCCTGCACCCTCATATTTTATTTTTTGCTTAAAATTGGTCTAATGGGTTGTGATGGGCGGGGAAGCCAGCTGTGGCAAGGATTTTTTTCTTCGAACAACGGTTTCCGAGATATAGCCTCGGGCAATTCCTGGAGTTCGCGCTGCAGCCCTATGTTTGGCGGCCTATAACTCAGAAACTACTGGATTTTTACGATAAAAACTTGATATGGTTCAACTCACAATCAACCAACAAACATTTTGGCTATCTCGGAATTTCAATTTTTGAAAATTTTGATCACGTGACCTTTTGTCCTATTTTTCGAAGAGTGACCTTGATATTTTCCCCACTGAAAGTTGCAATTTTGTCTGATGACGATTAAAGCCTTATCAAGTGTCATTCATATGCGATAATAAAAAAAGTGGTTATCGCCCTGCGTTGACCTCAGGTCAGGTCATTTTTATGACCTGTCCATTATTACGAGCGGGAGCGACAGCGAGATCTCGAGAATAAAGCAAGATAGCGACAAGCGGTAAACGGTAAAGGGTACACACGGATAAGGTCTATAATTTTTACTGAGGTCATTTTCAGGTCAGGTCAAAGATGCCGTCACAGGAGCTAAAAGGAAGTCAAAATAGCGGCACTATACATATATATGAAGTTTTTCTCGAATAACTTTCAAGGTATCTCACCTAGGAACAAACTAATAGCACCATCGTGATCCTCTCGTCGATCCGCATCGAAACATATGTATGTTGACCTCGAAAGGTCGAAAGGTCAAAAGTTGACCTTAGGTCACGTGATCTAGGGTCAACTTTTGACCTTTCGACCTTTCGAGGTCAACAAACATGTGTTTCGATGCGGATCGACGAGAGGATCAAGATGGTGCTATTAGTTTGTTCCTAGCTGGGATACCTTGAAAGTTATTCGAGAAAAACTTCATATATATGTATAATGCCACTATTTTGACTTCCTTTTAGCTCCTGTGACGTCATCTTTGACCTGACCTGAAAATGACCTCAGTAAAAATTATAGACCTTATCCGTGTGTACCCTTTACCGTTTACAGCTTGTCGCTATCTTGCTTTATTCTCGAGATCTCGCTGTCGCTCCCGCTCGTAATAATGGACAGGTCATAAAAATGACCTGACCTGAGGTCAACGCAGGGCGATAACCACTTTTTTATTATCGCATATGAATGACAATCGATAAGGCTTTAATCGTCATCAGACAAAATTGCAACTTTCAGTGGGGAAAATATCAAGGTCACTCTTCGAAAAATAGGACAAAAGGTCACGTGATCAAAATTTTCAAAAATTGAAAATCCGAGATAGCCAAAATGTTTGTTGGTTGATTGTGAGTTGAACCATATAAAGTTTTTATCGTAAAAAAACAATAGTTTCTGAGTTATAGGCCGCCAAACATAGGGCTGCAGCGCGAACTCCAAGAATTGCCCGAGGCTATATCTCGGAAACCGTTGTTCGAAGAAAAAAATCCTTGCCACAGCTGGCTTCCCCGCCCATCACAACCCCTTACACCAGTTTTCAACGAAGAATAAAATATGAGGGTGCAAATTTAATTTTTTATTTGTCGATTTGTCGTGGAACGCCCCAAAGGCTATATGAGACTTTTTTACAACATAGCCATACCTAAAAATGATTATGATGTTGTGAGTAGCATAAAAATGCTAACCGAAATCCGAATAGATTGGCACCTAGAAAACCCCAAAAGATCTATTATTTTACCTTATTTGCCAACACCACACGTCAAATTGAAATAAAATTTGCCCCATGTGACTTTACACCAAAGATGTAACATCTGCGTCACGTTTGCAGAAAATATCTCATTAATTTGCTGCATTTTTATTTTCGGCATTCCTAATTATGATGACCGCCCACCAACGTAACAGATGTTTCCATAGGAATAGATGTTTCCCTAACCCACAGTTTTTCGAGGACGCCGACCCTGACCCTAATTCGAATTGGCAACCCTAGCTCTCAGGAAAATCGAAATACAGCGATTCAGATAGACTCCAGAGTCCAGGCTTTGACTCCTACTGATATACAATCTTTATTTCTATGGATTTACGTGAGGTGAGGATCAGGGAATTAGGGAAGGAGTTGGGAGAGGAGACCATTCAATGACGTCTACTTATAACCAGTGATAGCTTTAAATGTCCACAAAACACGTAACACATCTTACGAGGACACAGTCTGTGGTAAAACGCACGATCCCCCAAATATCTCGCGAAGCTATGAGCAGGGGTGTAACTTTTGCTTTTGAGATGGGGGTGCACTTGGTGATGGGGGCGACCTTCAATGAGGATAGGGCCAGGGGCGCTTCCAAGGAGAATAGATGGTGCATATCTCTCAACAGGCGCGCACACAGGATTTTTGAACGGGAGGGGGAGCACGACCTGCAAACTGGGGCCCTCCATGACGAAGGGCCCCAGGCCCCAGCCGAAAAGTTTTCCAACGCGATTATTTTTCGGTTGACTTGAAACTTAGCTTCTGTCGATGCATGATAAAACAATTACTTCAGTGCCCGTTCAATTTTCAAAGCATTTAATGTTCCATTTTTGTTTACGCAGCATGTTTCATTCAAATACGATTCAGTGAGTAGTTTAGTTATCACCATCTTTGCAATCACGTAGAATATTCGATTAATAAGCGTGGATGCAAGGCCCTCAGAAATCAGCGCGGGTAGCGCCTGACTGCCGGCCGGCCGACCGACCCCGGCTAGCTAGAAGAGGAGGCTAGTCACGGGTTGCCCCGGATGTGCATGAGCGGGGCAGCACCCCCTTTGTCAATTCGCGTATAAAAGTCAGTACAATGATTCGTAGCGAGATCACAGACAAGAGATTTAACTTTTTTCTAGACTAGTTTTGACGCTGTCAGAAATCCTAGACGACGTGTTTCATGACTTTTGTGTTCATATTTCTTCTTACGACACACGACTCTGGCATTGAAGTTTATCAGTTTCTGAATGCGATGAAGCTGGATTATGCCGCAAGCTCCATAAATTGACATACAGTACCGGATGGTTGACAGAACTAACGACAACACGACTTGATTAAGAACAGAGTGGGGTATGACGTGACTAGCATGGACTAAAGCTAACAGAGTGCCGGTACATTTTCTGACGAGGTGATCGATGTGGTTGCCGAATGTCAGATGCCTATCCATGTGTACGCCTAAATTCTTCACTGTATAACCTCATTTGGGCCTTCTGGGGTCCGATTTGGGCCCTCCTGGTCTTTTTAATCGTCATTTCAGCTCATTTTAGACAGTCTTCAGCGGTCTTAAGATTAGGGGCCCATTTGAGAACCATTTGAGATGGCCCCCTTTCGGATGGGGGGCAGGGGCCCGTGTGCCCCCCTCGTGTGCTCCTGTCTCTCAATTTCGGTAAAATGCTTTGTTGGTATATTTCGAAATTCAGACTTAAAAGTGATCACCATTTTGCGTTCCTCCGATTTAGTTTGAACACAGTCGGATGTTGCAAATGGGATTGCAGTTCATTTATATTTACCCAAGGCCCTCTAACCGGCGCACAAATAAACGGATGTCGAGGCTTCTACTTGTAGGTACAAAAACTTTTGAAATAAAATGAATTTTAATTGTATGAACACTAAACACCCCAATGTTAGAGTCCAATGGTACAAAGTTGGGTATTACGAAATGACATTAAATTCGTTTGCACAAATATCAATCAATCAATTAACCCGCGCACCGACGGGGGGGGGCGGATATCCGCCCCCCTGAGGTTTTTCACGAATAGCGGGAAAACCGCGGCGCGTAGCGCCGCGAAATTCGGTATGACTATTCCCTTATCAATTTTACACATGGTGTGCAAGTTTGAACCTCCTACCTTTCAAGGTCAGGTCACCAGGTCACTTTGAATGACCCAACCTCAAGTCACTTTTTGCAACTTTGTCACCGTGCCAGAGCTACAGTAGATGTCGGAGGCCTTTGAAAGTCGCAGGATGTTATTAGGTCATTAGTATAGCTACAATTTGTATATCTCGGAATTTTGATATCGGTGACCTAAGGTCAGGTCAATTTCGCGACCTCCCCATTATAAGTCAATGGGGGAAAATCAACTCCCTGTTTTTACCACTAAAACGGGTCGGAATGGCCCCATATACCATACATGACTTCATATACGATCAACCTTCACTACCTTGAGGTCTGTTTTGCTGTTGGGCAGCTGTGAGGTCATGTGACGTCATCAAATGACCGGTTTAAATACGACATTGTTCTCATCAGTGAGTCATGGCTCAAGCCCAGCATTCCCAGTCGCCTACTTGCTTTCCCTGGTTATGACTTTAAACGCAGTGACCGCAAGTTTACTCCCAAGGGTTACGGCGGTGTGGCGGTGCTGAGCCGAGCCGGTATGGAGACCAAGAAGATTGACGTTCCAGCCCCGCGCAGTGACGACTCTAAGCTTGAGTCACTGTGGCAGCTGCACCGGTGGGGCCGTCAAGAGGTCGTGGTTGGCGCCGTGTACCGAGCACCGCGGCGTACCGCGGCCGCGCTTGACGCCGACTTCTCCGAACTGGACGCACAGTACCAGCACGTCACGCTCCGTTACCCCGGCCGGCCAGTCATCATTGGCGGTGATCTAAACTGTTGTATGCTAGCTGATCCCAGTTCACATGCTGGCTGCGAGAGGTTAACCGCCTTTCTGAACAGATACTCGCTCACGCAGACCATCACGACTCCCACTTACTCCACCGGCTCCCTTCTGGATGTTTTTATTGTCAACCGTAATTTCGTTCTTAAATCAGGTACTAGGTTTTGTCATTTTAGTCCTCATCGTTTCATTCGCATGATCTGTGACATCCCACGATTTAGACGTAAGCCTACTGTCACCAAGGCTCGTATGTTCCGTAACATTGACATCGCTGATTATCACCTTGACCTGTCGTGTTGTGACTGGAGCCAGGTCTACTTATCAGACACCGTATCCGACAAGTGGGATTATCTTGTTGACGCCGTGCGCGGTGTGCTCGACCGTCATGCCCCCGTTCGCTCGGTTAAAATCCGCAACCCCTCTGCCCCTCCCCTGTCTGCCGCCACGCGCGACCTGATGGCTCGCAGAGCCGCCGCGCTCTCTAGCCGCGGGCACGGCTCTGACGAGTACCGGGCCGCTAACCGAGCGGTGCGTGCAGCTGTGCGGGCGGACAGTCGGAGCGATATTGAGGGGCGAATCGCAGCGGACGGTCCGGCTTCGGTGTGGCGTAACTTGCGGCGTGTCGTGAGTGGCAAGCGAGATTCGCATGTCACTTTTCCCCGCGTCAGTGGTGACACACTGAATCAGTTTTTTGTCGATGTAGGCGCAAACATTGTTTCCGATTTGAACTCCGGTGTGCACGAATCGTCTCGGCAAGTGCCTGTGCGGCTACAGCGAGTCGGTTCGTGCGGTTTTACCGTGCAACCCGTCAGTCTCGAATTTTTAAAGAACGTTGTTTTTAGCATGCGAAACTCATCTGCTCGTGGCTCTGACGGGCTTTGCATTCGCGTTTTTAAGATGTCTTTTAGTGTGATCGGACCTGTTCTCTTGCATGTTGTGAACTCCTGCCTATCCATGAATGACATCCCCGCATCCTGGAAACATGCCCAAATCCACCCCATCCTGAAGTCCGGTGATCCCAACAATCCTGCAAACTACCGTCCTATTTCCATCCTCCCTGTCATCTCGAAGGTAGTGGAGAAGGTCGTACAGCGACAGCTTCAACACTACCTATCCTCCAACTCTCTCCTCTCCCCTACCCAACACGGCTTCCGTCCACATCACTGTACCGAATCAGCCCTTCTCCAAATCTCTGACCGAGCACTTGCTGGCATGGATCAAGGCCACATCTCTCTGCTCTGTTTACTTGATCTGTCTAAAGCTTTTGACGTGATTTCCCATTCTAAATTGCTTGACAAGCTCGAGCTGCACGGCATTGACACTGCCTGGTTTCGAAATTATCTTGACGGTCACACGCAAAGCGTAGCCATCTCTGCCTCACAGAGCTCCCCTCCGCTCAACATTAGCCAGGGCGTCTTCCAGGGGTCATCGTTGGGTCCTCTCTTGTTCAGCATCGTCGTTAACGATCTTAGCTTGTACGCTGGCGACTCTTTTATCATTCAGTACGCCGATGACACCCAGGTTTTAGTCTCTGGACACAAGTCCGAGCTACCTGACCTTATCTTAAAACTCGAGGCATCTCTCCAGTCGCTTGGTGATTACTTTCATTCGAACGGTTTAAAACTTAACGAGTCAAAATTCGAGCTACTTCCCATCGGCTCACGTCAAAATCTGCGAGACCTCCCACCGTTCACGGTCAAGTTTCGGCAAGCCGTGCTATCACCTTGCACTGAAGCAAAAAATCTCGGTGTCACTTTTGATCGCTATCTCACTTGGGACTCGCACGTATCGCAACTATCACAGAAGTGCTTCGGCATCCTTATCGGTCTCTCCCACATCCGCCACTACCTACCATCCGGTACTCTCCCAATCCTTGTGTCTGCCCTCGTCCTTTCCCACGTCCGCTACTGCCTCTCCGTCTATGGCAACGGGCAAGGGCGGATCTAGGGGGTCGTTTTGGGGGGGGTCACCAGTCGGCCGACATACCAGGTCTGGTGAATGAATTCTGACGACCGGGGGGGGGGGGGGTAGGGAGCGAGTATGTCGAGATCAAAAAATGACATTTGATCTTCGTCGTTTATAAGATGAAGTTTTATCGTAAGTCACTCGGCTCAGTAGTTTTAGTTAGTGAAACCCACCTATATAGGAGCGTCGCCACGGATTTTTTACTGGGGGGGGGGAGGCGGGTCGACCGA